ATCAAAACACAGCCCCGAGATGAGTATACGAATAAATCACATAAAGCGATATTTGTAAYATACATTTGCAGTTGTAYCTGAGTGTAAATGGAATGAGTTGTACTCAGGTGTAATCCATTTTCATCTGATTTTAAATATTGCACATTACATTTTCCATTCTCAGCATCATATATAGGTATCTTCTTGCCCGTTTTTTGCTTTTATTAAACACCAGAGCGCGCCACTTCCGACAAGTGTGCTGCCTCTACAGTTAGGGCTCGGTCCCTATTCTATAGGAGCAAACGTTGGCGCGAAAAATATTAAAATTTTAAATCAACGGGTATGAAAATTATTATGTAAAGAAAAATATATTAATTACATGATTGAATTAATTTGTTTAAATACCGAAAACCGTGTTAATTTGTTAATTTATTAGTACAAATAATGAAAAAAAATTAAAAGAAAAAGGTAGGTAGAAGTAAAGGAATCTTTGAATTCTTCATATATAGATGGCGCGACTTTCAAGATAATTAAATAACTGAAAATTGATTTTTCTTAACTATGTAAATAATTCGGGTAATGTTTTTATTTATCGAACGATAAGATTTTAAAGTAATAAATTTTACTTTTAGGTAATGTAAAATTTTTTTAATTTTATGTCCATACGTTGAATTGCAAAACGTAAAGTATATATTTGCGTCACATATCCTAATTCATATATATAACATATATATATATATATATGTATATGTATACAGATGTCGTTTTGCATCGTTACATTGAAGTTATTTCGATGTTCTTTTCAGAACAAAAATTCGCGCCCAAATGAGTGATAAAAAGCAGCATAAGTGTGTTTTGTGTGATTCCAAATTAAATTCTAAAGAGGAATTACAGGAACATTTTAGGTATTCATATTCAACATTTTAATCTCACAAAGTTTTATAAACAAAACCAATCAACGATCTAGACTATTCTATGATATTATTAAACAATTTATTTTCACATGATGATTGAAAAAATAAATAAAAAATAACGTTATTAATATTAAATATTAATTCTTATTATTTTTTATCACTATAAAAAACTATGTTACCGATTGAGCATTATTATAATTGTATCATTAAATCGTTGTTTTGATTTGAGGTTATCAAATATTTATTGATGAGTATTTATACATATTAATATGTAATTTTATTTTTTTAGAAAACATGCAAATAAAGAAATAGATACTCGTGGACGTCCTGTTAAAAATTGTAAAAATGCCGATACCAAGTGTGATGAGTGTGGTCAATCATTTGACACCATAACTGCAACAATAAGACATAAATTTAAAGTCCATACTAATTCACAAACTAAATTCTATTGTCCCTATTGTGGGAAGCAATTTCCATTAAAAGTAAATAAACTTAAATTCTTTACTTTTTTCATATTTGACTTTATAATAATAATAATAATAACAATTAATTATAAAAGTTCTAATCGAATGTAATACCAAATAATTGTATATATGTTAAGACGCACAGAGATAATCATCAAACATCGCATAACCCAAAAGATAGTGAAAATAAGACTGACCATGCTAAATGTGAGGATTGCAATGTAATATTTTATAATAAAAAAGCATTTAATTATCATCACCGTTCGGTACATAAAAGGTATTTATAGCTATTATTTTAGTACACGTTCGTACTGTTACAAAAAATTTATTAGAAATATATATTCGTTTTTGTATTTTACAGAATGGTGCATATATTTCAACCAATTCTTACTCCACCGCCAAGCAACAAAATTAAACTCAATTCCATGAACGATGCTTTAAGTGTTTACTATTGTCATTTGTGTGGTGCAGAATACATTATTAAATTTAATTTACAACAACATTTAGAACGTGCTCATTCCAAGGTATAAATGACATGATGACATGATTTAAATAGTGTTCTAAATGTATTATTTCTATTTTATAACAGGAAGAAAGAGATGCTGTACCAGACGATTTAATTAAATGTACTATTTGTGCTGCATTATTTAGTAGTAAAAAAGCATATGAGGTTCACAATAGTTATCATCGACCTGATGATTTATATGTAACGTCGGAAGAACAGAGATTGCAGACTGTTACAAAAATTGATCAAGACTTTGATATTAGAAGAGTGGAAGCAGTAGCTAATAAATACGTTACTAAAACTAATACATCCAAGAGACCAGCTAAATATTGGTCTAAGGTATTCACTAATGAATCTATTTTATTGGTGCTTCATTTAATAAATGCTATCAAGTTTGTATATATACATATATACTTAACAAGAATACATAAACATATTTATTAAATATTCTAGCAAGAAAAAATACAAATGTTAAACAAACCTATAAAAGAAGCATACTCGTCGTCTGACAATGATCTTGCTTGTGCTAAGGATTCCAGCGATTCTGAAAGTGATCTTCCTTTAAAGCAAAGATTACTTAGCTAGCAAAGGTCCACATGTAACTTTAAAGTAATTGTATTGACTTTAAATATTGAATTTTTAATTACCATTTAATTATGGTAGATTTTGAAACACATAAAGTAGGGATGCATTTTTGTGAAAGAATATTTTAAAAATCAAAAAACTAAGTTTTACTACATTAAAATAATATTATTTATTTCTTTGTATTCTGAAGAGAAATGCTAGTATAAATATTAAAAATTTAATGTGGGATAAGCACCTATAAGAGCTCACAGTAGCCTAGGGATTAACAATTGCAATTATTTCTGCTAGATATAATTCTTTACTCACCCTTATGAGATAAACTAAAAACCATTTGCATGCTTAGATATTATTTTTTAACAATTTTTCTGAAAATTATTACCAGAGCATATATTTACAGTGTAAGTTCAATTGGTTCAATTACTTTTTGAAATACTATTATATTTATATTGAATGACTAAACAAAACAAAAAAAGATTAGTGCTATGAATATATTTTGTATTTTCTTTTTATGCAAGTGGGTTTATAATATTATAGATTGTATATATATATGACTACATTTTGTAAATAATATTGAATATAAAGCTACGTGTTAAATCTGTATATCAGTATTTCAGTGGTTTTTTTCTTGTTTTAAATATGCACAAACAAAATCATGTATTTGTATCTTTATAAATAGTTGTATATATATAGATATTATTAAATTATAAAGGAATCTACGAAATAGAATAAAACTTAATCGACGATTAGCGTTTTGTGGTTATGGACGGACATTTTAAATCAAAAAAGAAAGAGAAAAAAAAATTGTTAATTATTCGTGATTCGATTATTTGATAAATAAATAAATCGTTTTAGAATAAAAGAAACTCGAGAATTATGAAATAATAAATCAAAGAGAAATGATTTTATTTTCATTGATTAGTTAAACTGACTTACGTCGTATACGGAAAAGATGCTGGCGCCATTTTCTGTTATCGGTTTTTACGCGTGTGTATTGCTAGTGTGAAGATCGAATTCTTATCACGTAGTTGCCTAGCGTATTTAATATATTTGTGATTCTTTTAAGTTTTTGATTAGAAAAAAATATAATATGGGCCGTAAAAAGAAGAAGCAGTCTAGACCATGGTGTTGGTATCCTTTGAGAAATAAATGTTCATCTAGAAGCATTTTACGTAATTATATTTTTGGGTTGCACTCATGTATGTGATTCTATTGCACACAGAAATATCTTCTATGAGTAATTTAGATTTGTATATTTTATTTTATTCCCTATTATTATTATTATTATTATTATTATTATTATTATTATTATTATTATTATTATTATTAAATTTTTTATTGATGCTAATAATATTATTATTATTATTAAATTTTTTATTGATGCTAATAATATTATTATTATTATCATCATTATCATTATTGTCATGGTTATTATTATTATTATTATTATTATTATTATTATTATTATTATTATTATTATTATTATTATTATTATTATTATTATTATTATTATTAGTTAAGAACGTTTATTATATTATTGTTCAAATTATACAAATCGAATATTAAATACATTCGAGTAACATAAAGACTATATTCACGTAATCCAGTCTTTGTAGAAATCAATATATGTATATTAAATAACGCGTACGTCGCATAAAGGTAACAATTGTAATAATCATTTAAATAGCTTCGTAAGCTACCATTTTTATCATATTGTTATTAGATCTATAAAAAATATATTGTTTTCAAGGCATTTCAAATAAGTTGATATTGTATTAACGTAAGTTCTATTGAATCATATTTTCCTTAACGTTTCTATTTATCAAGGTATTGTAATAGGGAATTTGAAGATGAGAAAATTCTTATTCAGCATCAAAAGGCAAAACATTTTAAGTGCCACATTTGTCATAAGAAATTATATACGGGACCAGGACTAAGTATACATTGTATGCAGGTAATTATGACATTTAATATAATCTTTCTTCTATTTGTATTGTTTATCTATATTATATTATATTATTATTATAGGTACACAAAGAAGCAATAGATAAAGTACCTAACTCATTGCCAAATCGTAGTAATATTGAGATAGAAATATATGGAATGGAAGGTATCCCACCAAACGATGCTAAGGAGCATGAAAGACAACGCAATGGTGGAAGACCTGGATCACCTAGTTCCGGAGAAGATGAACCTATACAAAAGAAGGCTAAACCTGAAGGTTTATTAGGTTCAGCACCAGGAGCTATGCCTACAGGTTCTAGTATAATGTCTGGGGTTATGCAAGGAATGACGACGCATCCTGGTATGCCACCAATGGGTCAATTCCCACCACCTATGCATCATATGATGGGACCTATGGGCCCAGTAGGTCCACCGTTCATGGGACCTGGGTATAATTATTTCTTCAATTATATTTAGAATAGTGTGATTACATATTTAAACCCTTGTATTATCATTTTACTCACTGGTATATTGTTCGTTGTTTATGTGCAGTATGATGCCTGGAATGCCAGGTATGCCACCAGGCATGCAACCACCAGTATCTGGTACATCAATGCCACCAACGAGGCCATTATTCCCAAGTGCTGCAGCTGTGTCAACGGCTGCATCTACGGCTGTGACATCAACCCCATTGGGTACTGATTTTAAACCGATTACATCAGTGGCTGGTGGGTCTATAGGACCAGTCAAGCCAACATTCCCTGCTTATAGTGGTACTGATAGTAGTACCACGTCTAATAGTAACCTTGGTAGTGAACAGAAAGTTAATTTAATTGCGACAACAGGGGCTGCTAGTAAAATTATTCATCCTCCTGAAGATCTCAGTTTAGTAAGTAATTCAAGTACGTCTTCTAGTAATAATAATAATTATAATAAACTATAGTTTCTAACATTTGAAATATGTGCATACATTAGGAAGAAATTAGAGCAAAATTACCAAAATATCAACGCCGACAAACAGCAGAGGAGTCTCGATCGGCGCAGGCTGATGCCAATCAACAGGCTGTGGCGTTGCAACAACAGCAACAACAGCAGCAGCAGCAACAACAGCAACAACAACAGCAGCAACAGCAACAGCAGCAGCAGCAACAACAACAGCAACAAGCAGCTGCTAACGTAGCTGCTGCATTTCAAGATCAACAACAAAGACAGCAAGCAGCATTAAATGCGCTTCAACAACAACAACAACAACAACAACAACAAAGGTTTCAAAGGCCTCCGCAAGCAGTAATGGTACCAGCATCGGCAGCAATGCCTGTGAGCTCAGTTGCTCTTATGGCACCATTAATGCGACCCACAATGACATTAGCTGCACCTGCTCTTATTCATGGAGGTAACATGATGCGACCGCCCCCCATGGGCCTACCACCAGGTAAGTTAACTATTTCTAAATTAAATCTCTGCTCTTATAAAAAAGGACACCTCCTTTTTACTCTAATAAGTTTCTCTGCAAATATTCTCAATTACTTATGTACCCTCATTTTATCGATTTAGAACCCATCAAAGAACATCTCTTAAATACATGAAAATCAAAGGAACATACATATTCTAGATATTTCAAATTAGATTATATTAATCCAAAAAGAAAGGAAATAATCTTTTAAGACAACGTGTCCTATTCTTCTTATTATTATTTTTTGGTTTTTACTATAGTAGATTGTCAGTGTGTTGAGAACAATGTCATTTTTCTTTGGTGGGTTTATCTGATTCACTGCTTTACAAATGAACGGCCTATCCATACAGATATCCCTTTTTCGCTTGAATTTTGTAAATCCATTTAATAACATTAAGATGAATCATGCTGTTTGTAATATATTTATGACAATATATATATGTAATTTGTAATAAAAGGTTATATATATAACCTTTATATACCGAAAGGTATATATATATATATATATATTTTTTTTTTTATTACAAATTACTTCAATGATATTGAAGGCTATTAAAAATATAAAATAATAAGGGGGAGAGAAAGAGTTCTTTTCATCTAAGTTATTATTGGAGGTAATACACTTCTGCATTTTTTCATTCACCATTAACGTATATAGCCTTTGGCCCGAACCCAATCAACCCCTTCTCCGTTACTCCAATTTTACTTATTCAAGATAGGAAAGCATGTTATCTATATAAGGAAGAGGTGAAAGAAATTGGAGGGAAGGGGAGGAGAGAAATTGAAAAGAAAAGATGGAAAGGTATTAGATAATGGAAAGGATAAGGGTTTTATTTTTTTATTTTTAATGAGGGTACACTAGAATTGTAGTTTATTTAACAAAAAAAGAAAAAAAAATGGGAGAGAGTGAAAAAGAGAGAGAGCGAGAGACAGAAAGAAGTACGACAGTATAAAAAATATTAACGCGCTCGGGATTTATCCGTATGCCAGAATTGATGTCAGCGTGTCTTGTACGTTTACGTTTTAACGGTACGTTTGCAGGGTACCCAGTCACTCCTTGGTGAGTGTTGAACGAACCCAGTCTGGTTACTAAAACCGTGTTTTATACAAGTGCAACAAGGTTGGTCCTTAGCAAATAGCATGCGGTGACATGACCTATATATCATTATATTTATTATTATTTATTATTTATTAATTATTATTAATATTATATTTATTATTACGATTATTATTATTATTACTATTATTATTATTATGATTATTATTAGTTTTATTTATTATGGTCTCACATCATCGTTATATTACTATATATTTATATATATTTCAATATTTCTGTATATTTACATTATTGTCAATGGGCAGGTGGGTCGAGCGGCCAACGAAATAACATCTGTTCCAATTCATTCCACGTCGGGCAGCCACTTTGATTTTGGGACACATCATGAGTCTTTGGATGTGATATACCTCCTCCCGAAACAATAATAGAGTCATTGGTATCAGGAGCACGATTACATTTCAATTATTCAGTCATATTATTACTAATTTATATTCCACAATTATTATTATATTACGTGCGTTTTATATTCGATAAAAGAAACAACAACCAAGCTTTTTTTTTTATCAATTGATAGTTCGCTCTATATATTCGGCCGCTCGGCCGGTTTAAATCATATATATATATATATATATATATAATATGCATATAATTATATGTATTACATATATATATATATATGTAATTCTTCTTCTTCTTGTTTTTTCATTTTTTATTTTTTTATTTAATTTTCTGGGTTTTGTTTTTAAGTTTCATTAGCTTCTTTTTTATTTACTATTTCGACTTAACCATATTCTTCTTCTTCTTCTCTTCTTCTTCTTCTTCTTCTTCTTCTTCTTCTTCTTCTTCTTCTTCTTCTTCTTATGACTCACTTGCCATTATCTTGCCAACCGTGTTACCACCATCCTCTCTTCAGTACTACTTAATAGCTTGAAATCCTGGTGTTGTGATATAGTAGTAAAAAGAACTGCTTTTTTGGGCACGGTACTGTTGTTCGAAGCTGTCATTGAAACTAAAACAAAATTATCAAATTCATAGTTCTCTTTACGCTTTACGACTGTCCCTTCCTTCTTCGTCTCTACGTCTCTCCCTGGTTTTTATGTTTATGCTGACTAATATTCTTCTGTAATCATTTCCTACTTATTTTTTTATTCTTTCCGTTTTCTTTTTTATACATTTTATATAGGGAGAATGTCAGGATTATCTAATAACATTAAAAATACATGTTGTCACTAGAAACATTTCTTCTTCTTTTTCTTTTAATTCCAATAGATAATATTTATATTGTTTGTGTAAAAGAAAGAATAATATGAGAGAGAGATAAAAGGAGAGAAAAAGGGAGAAGGGACTTTAAATACCCATCACATTTAATTATAATGTGGTGCGGTTGTTATGGAGAAGATAAATTAATCTAAAGAAATAAAATAATAAAAAAAGAAACACGAAAGAACGAATCTTATGTATTTTCCTCACATCATAGCTTAGCTTTTGTGTCACACGAACACAACTTTGCGTAAGTTAGAACGTCTGACAGTAAGTAAATTATTTTACAATACCCAATATATACTTCTTATATCGATGCGTCTGCTAAGAAGGAATTGTATAATTAATTTTAAGGGGATTTATATTATATATTATATATTATATTTAGATTATATTATTTTCGTTATATATATATATATATATATATATATATATATATATATATTATATGTGAATCGCACAATTGAAATAACTCATTTTTAAAATACATTTAATCTGCATTGAAATATGGCAATATCAATTATATCGATGCTTCCACAGTTAGCTGACAAGTAATTGCAGGAGATAGCACGATTCTTATTAAAATTCTTACGCCTGTGAAAACATTATAGGAGAACATTGTGTAGGAATATTAGCTGGCAGCCGAACAGTAAAAAATAATTAACGGATGACAAACCAATTGTAATAATAATGATATTATTATTATTATTATTATTATTATTATTATTATTATTATTACTACTATTATTATTATTATTGTTATTATTATTCAGTGTATGGTGTGAGGTTTTGTGTGGTACCACCTTTGTCAGTTTGTTGTGATTTGTATTGTGTATGCGGCACACTGCATGCTAAGTTGAGTTCCTCTTATAGTTTGGCAATTCGCATTCATTGAAAGTTGCTAGATAGACGTAGGTGGTCTGCCAACCACAAACCCATATTGGGTGTATATCGTAGTTATAGACAAATCTACTTTTGATCGTTTTTACTTTATGGTTGAGAAATATACATATATATATATATATATAT